CTAAGGCTCTGGATGCGTAATTTATCGCCGTTGGCAAATGCTGAATATGCAAACGGGATTACAATGTTACAAGAGTTTGAGCTTTGGTAAGCATTTGGCGGACGTCAAAAAATTACGCTCAGAACTTTATCGCAGTCGACGGTGGCGTCTGCTCCGGAATATTATTATAATATTTGCTAGTCGGCGGGCGGGCGTATATATTACTCAGGCTATAACCCTGCTGCTGGCATCAAGCCATCCTGGTCTTAACCCTATCCCCGTCTCAACTCTTTCAACACTATATCCTTTATTTTGCTACTCTCCCTCTCCTCTATCCCTCGCTGGTCCGTAATGTAATCACTGTTTTACGTATGCAAAGTCTAGTAAATGGTGCGTGGGACGTATACTGCGGTAGTGTTGTTAACGGTGGTATATAATATAAAACATGTCGATTGTTGGTTTTAGATTTACGTGCAAAATTTATAATTCCCATTTATGGAAAAACGTCGGTTTTTGCTATTTTAAATGAATTTGGTAATAACAAAACTTGATGAACTTTGTTTTAAACAAACATTTAATTAATTTCACCGAAAAAAAAAATAGGAAAATTTGTATTTAAATTATTACAGATGGTTTACTTAAGTTGCATACATAACAAATGTCTAAAGTGAACGTTGATAATAGGATTAATGAGACATCCGACCCAATTCCCATATATATGCCTATTCCTGACTGGCCACTTCGGCCTTGCTCGGGTTAAAAAGTATTTTCCGAAAGAACGAAGTAATAAAATATTTTCGAGTACTTCAACAACTATTTCGACCCGAGAGTTTAATAATTAAACCCTCTCGAAAAATTGAACCGTAGTCATTCCACGAAGTCAACGCTAAACGATACTGATTTAATCACAGACGCCGTTTGTGTAAACGGGTCGCCGATTTTTGAACACAAAGAATGGGAAAAATTTAATTAAACTAATCTAAATTTAATCGTGTCGCACGACCTTTGCACTCTAACCTATATAGGGGTCGTACCGCCGTTATATATTTAGCTGAGTAAGCCTATATACGCCCTCTTATACCGGAGTATTCATTATATTTAAAAAAAAACCCGAAATATTCTCGTCTAGTCGTGTCGCTATGCACGTGTGGGTACATAACTAGCGCGCGGTCAATAAATAATACGATATTTGTACAACGCTAACGAATAATTATTGTATTCGGCACGAAGGTGACAGCCGACGGCCTAGTGGATGTATTATAATATGTGTGTGTGTAGGTGGCGACCAGAAAGTATAGGATGTGATGACGATACATGACAGATAACGGGATGAAGGAACGGGGGGTGGGGCGAAGGGAGAATCGTAACAATAATTTATAGCCTTTCGGTTGCAAAACTCTTGCCTAGGCCGAGGGCCATGCGACACACATAACCGGATTATTGGTCATATCCGCGTGTCGCCCGTCATTTATCACCATATTGTGTGAGTGTGCACGGCTTGTGCTGTGCTGTCTGTCTGTGTTATGTGTGTATGGCGTGTACGACTAACAGTCTCCGCACCCCGTTCCCATCCGGTCGTATCCCCGAACGGTTCAATAGCGTCCTTTTGTTGTTATCTCTGCCGGTCGGGATCGGCGATTTGAATATTTCATTAACACTGTATCGGGGCACCCAAAACGATACACCTACCTATACTCGCCTACCCTCCCTTTGGAAACTTTGTTCCCTCACCGGCTCGTTTTACCGTTATTATGATATTATATACAACCCATACCGTGTAAAACCCACCCCGATTCTCTAGATAATCGTACCCGCTATTGACAGTGGCGAAATATCGTCTCATTTATATATAATTATGTACGCTATCGCAGAGGTCGGTCCATTAAAATATAATATACACGGTGTTATTTATTACGTTCTTGGTGTGGTTTTTAAATAATACATTTTTTAAGGTTTATATTCTCTCTCTCTCTCTCTCTCTCTCTCACTCACTGTTTTTTTTCTTTAGTGGCACCGGCGACAGCGACTTTTCTCAAGAGCCATAGCGCCGCCGGCACAATGGATTTTGATTTACTTGATAATAATCTAAAGTAAATGGACCTTGAATGCTTTAACGGGATAAGGGACGGCACGGCAAAATTTATACCCAACGTGAAATGTGCGTTTGACAATATCAATACCGTTTATTGTTCGAGTAATTAAATTCCGAGTTCTCGCACACACGTACTATACACTTCAGTGTACTATGTATGTTGTAGCCGAGTAAATGGAAAATTCAATTCTGTCCTTTGTCAAGTATAAATTACTCCCGTCACAAGATGCTGTACCGTTATAATTATTATTTACCTGATAAATTTAACATAGGGTTTTTTTTAACAGACTATTACCGTTTGACATATTTGTCACTGACGCGATGGTGTAGAATTTTGAGCTTAAAATCTAGTGTGAACTGATTACAATTGTAATGAAAAGACTTTATTGATAGTTATATTTTTTGCCAGTTCAAAAAATTGATTCATAACGTGTTCAATCCGTTATTTTATTTGTTTATAAAAAAATGTAAAAACTATTGTTACAAAACGTTAAGTAATTGTTCATACATTTTTTGTATTTGGATGGAATTTCACACCCAAATCTCTCTTTCCCGTTGTATCGTCACTGCGATCAGTCGTTGATCCTCATATTAGTTATTATATTTCATACTACGGGTCCAGGGTTCTCAGTAGAAATGCCTATATTGTTATTAGAGGTCTATAGCGATTAAAAGGGATCCGTGGAAATTCTAAGCTACACAGCTTACACAGCCTCGGCTGAATGTATAGTATGCCCGTGTTGCAGCAATGAGATGTGATACACCTAATTGCCAGCTGCAGCCGGTCAGCCGTGGTGAAGATCCACTAAATTACGCAAAAACAATACAAAACGGGCCAACGGTCCCGTACACTATCGAAACCTCGCCGGTTTTATTAATTATAAGCGATTTCGTTTTGGCGGGACTGTTAAAACTGGATTTGCGAAACACCAACAGTGTAATTAAACGGGTGCCGGCAGAAATAGTGGTGTGCTACAATTTATAATATATTGTGTACAGTTATTGCATTTGTAGCTGCGTTGAATTGTTTTAATAATAACACACCGTTTTTCTAATAGCGCGTTCGAAAGATTATCGACATACTTTACGGATAATTCGAAATGCGTTCAAAATATCGTTTCTTCATTATTTTCAATTTTTTTTTAATTTTATGAAAAAACACGTCTTGTCTCATTATGCGCTTAATACTTCACTAAAGTAAAACTCATATAAACCCGAGAGTACAATTTAAACTAAATTGACGAAAGTTTTATTCGTTCAAAACATTCATTATTTTGACAACGGGGTTTTTCACTTTTCGGTGACATTATTTAAAACGACAGGATATCACAAGGATAATTGACACTCTCGGTATACAATTTATTTCTCATGCTCGTGGTCGTTTCTGTAGAGGTGTGATTTATTACCATTGGGTACGTAGAGTGAGGGGAGACAGAAAATAAGAAAGGACTAGGGTTTAAAAAAAAAATACGTGTGGATGTTGTATTATAGTTTCTAGGAGGTAGAATTTGTTTCAAATTATCTAACCTGAGTTTTAGTATGTTTAACGTGGAATTTTTTCGATTTAAAACAGGTTAATACATATTGTATGTTATGTAATATTAGTGTACTATAATAATAATTACAACAATATTTTCATATTATCGTATTTCAACGTGCATGCAGAATGACTTTGAAAAAATATTAGGTTATATAACAAAATCACATAATGAAATGTAAATAAAAAAGATAAAATAACCACCGTCGATGGAAACACAAATGCCATGATTATTTGACATAAATATCACGGTGTCAAGAAAACATTTATGGTTAACCATTGACCCAACTGAAAGGTCAGCTTTTTATAACATGTATATGTTCCATATTATTATATTATTATCAATGTATAATATAACAGTTATTGTAAGAATGGTAAGATCCAAGATGTGTATTTTACACGATGTAAGAATTATTATACTTGGTGAATATAAATAAAATTAAATAGTATATTAGAATTTTTAACTCTAAAATTGGATCATTTATAAAACGTTATAAAATGCTGTTCCGAACGTATTATATTTTAATAACTAATATTATAGTGATTTCCGTTATAAGTGTAAACTTTACATGGTGCATGTTGTAAAATAGTACTATGTATTTTAAAACTTTTAGAGTTATTTGAGGATACTAATTTTATCGAAGTACGTTTTTTTTTTACGAGATACATTTCATTAAAGTCCTTACAAATCATTTAGCCTCATTTATAATAATAATATAATAATCCTCCAAATTTGGATAATCTAAGTTTATACGATACGGATAATTCTATCACTAACAAAAATTGCACATAGTACTCCCAGGCAGCAAAAAATTGCTCTTTTTTAAAAATTATTTTCGATGGTTTTATTGAAAGTTTATTACTATTTTCAAAAAAGTTTTTGTCCCGAGTTTTAAAGTTTCAAACATGAATTTACAAAATATATTTAAAATATAACAATTTTATCAACTTTACTACAACATTTTTTTTTAGAAATATTTTATTTTTTTGAAAAACTATGTTTTATAAAATGTTTTAGCTCAAATACTAACGTTCTTAACTGTTTGATATTATTTAGAAAAAGTAATAATTTTCCAATATTACTGGAATCAATACGCCGGTCTCAGGTATTAGCTATTTTATGGTATTTGTGTCATTTTCAATCAGGGAAAAATTTAATGGCGGCAATATAGATAGAATAATAGCTAGGCGATATTACCGATGGCTCGTAATCGACACTTGCGTCGACCCAGTAACGGCAGCGGCACATAATAATATTATATTATACGGTTGCTAAGAAACAACGTTGGGTATATTACGTTCCCGACACTCGGACTCTTTAATTGAGAACGATATTTTTCACTTGAACATTGTACCTTTTGTCCGCAGCCGACGCCGCGCTGTAGCCTGGGTTTATTTTTATGATGCCAAAATGTAAAACGACCGCGTTGACTAGGTCTCAACAGCTGGACCAAATGACTAGGAAAAACGGTTACAAACCGACAATGTACGAGGCCCACGGCGTGTACAGGGGACACTGGAAAAATGACATGAAAAACGGTAAGACCCGGCCGGCAAAATACACAAAAATACACAATTAAAAACACAAGCAAAATATTAAAATCGTCGACCGTGTTGCAGGCAAAGGAACCATGATCTACAACAACAGCACCGTGTACGTAGGGGATTGGCGGGACAACAAAAGACACGGCGTGGGAGTGCTGACGAAACGGTTAAGTGATTGCGATGTAATGATCTACGAGGGAGAATGGTTTAACAATCAATTCGTACGTATGAAATCCGTAAAAAATCTAAAAAGGCTATTGCCGTTTGTGCGCTATATCCATTGGTTCTTTGGTAACTTGGAAATCTTTTGGCAAACGACGACACCTCACAGCAGTGCTTAAGTATCTAATTCGAGATTAATTTCTGGCAATACTGCGGGTCAACAACTTTGCGAATACACAATCAAATTTATAGCGGCGCCTCACTGCATCGAGCCAAAAACTGTAAACAATTTATTAATTATTACACTGCCGTCATAAACTCTTAAAACAATTACTGTTAGACGCATTGAGAATTTGGCACGTTGTCAACTGAAAATTAATTTCGCTCGCCCAAAATTATGCACGCTACTGGTACTCTATCTAATTCGTCCTGTAAGTCAATACAGGACAATTCGATGCGATGATAACATTTTTCGCAAACTTGATGACCGTAGATTGATTTTTTTATCGTTTCATTATTATTGTTTCTAAAAGTGAACTTGTATAAAACAAACTTCCTCGGATCGGGTTGTCCTCGACGTTATACATTTTCAATTTATTGTTCTCACGCGATATAAAAAAGTAACTTTTTTCCGAGGTCAATTAATTGAAAATGCAGACTATTGTTAGAAACTTTTTTATTTAAATAAAATAGGTCAGTATTGTAAAAAAAAAAACAATATATCACAACACAATGTCTTATAACGTAACATGATTACAGGAAAGGGTTTTTATACTATACAAAACTATTTGTTTTATTAATAAAAAATACTTTTTAAAATAGATTAAAGGTCGGTGGTATGGCAAAAATGGAATTTACGAAGGAGAGTACATGCCAGGGACAAAATTAAAATGTGGTTACGGGACAATGAGATGGAACGATGGGTCTGTGTACAGCGGATTTTGGAGTAATAATAAATACCACGGGAAAGGACTGTTGGTGGAAGGTTGGGCTGCCCTCTTATCAGTTAGTCTCTTAAATATAAAAATATATTTTTTAAGATGTCTTTAGCTAATGGAAACTACTATGATGGATATTGGAACTACGGGTTGAAACACGGAAAAGGGATTTACATGTATAGGAACAGAGGACAAAAAATGGACGGTGTTTGGGTTGACGGAGTGCCCAAAGTCAGCACAATAATAGATTTTCAAAGACAAAACGCTCTTATATTGCCGACCATTTACCCAATACCTAAGGTAATGATAATATAAATTCAGTTTAGTATCAATATATTATAGATTTATTTATTATTTTTTATGTATAATAGATATCCTCTTGTGACTTGGAAGTTCTAGATAATATGTATAAAACCGTACAATCCAATGTTCTTGATCTACTGTAAGAAGACTTTCTTGTTCATCGTTACAGTATAAAGCTATAAAGGTTACCATATTATAATATATCAAATGTTATTTTATTTTCTCACTTAACGTTATAAATTATTACATTAATAATTTTAACAACATTTCTTATTGTATAAAAAATACTATATTAATATTTAATAGGATCCCACTACAGGTTATTATTTAACATCAAAATACAGGTAATATATACATATTTGAACAAAAAGCTATTTCAAATATTGAATTTTGATGATATCATCATTTTTAGGTCTAGTTTTAATAGCCTGCTCACCAGAAGATAAAATTATTTTAAACATACATAATTTTTTATGTGTAATACATTTTTGTTTTGCGAGGAAGACTTTCTACAGTGCGCATTAATCTTAATTTTAGATTACCGTTAAATTACACCAACAATTTTAATGAAATCGTGTAGTATTCAAAATTGTATTTACGACATAATATAAAAAATGGATTTTTGAAACTCAGAGATCAATTTGACCTGTAGGTTCTTTCACACAAATAAATCATAATTAAAGTCCAAACTCTACAAGGCAATATCCTTATGACACATTTTCGAGAGAAATAAACCCATCGACATCCGAACCCCTTTTATTGAAATTTTAGCACAAAGAAAACTATACTATACCTAACACATAGTAATTTATAACTGTAAATATTTTCAAACAAAATAATTGGAATTAAGTAATTAGTGGAAAATATAAAAAGTATTATATGATCTAAAAATGTTGTATTTCCTTCCAAAAATATGAAGTAAAAATTGTTTAATGAAATATTATGTTTGTTGTTGGGTGGATAAGTAGCAGCAGAAGGCTTTTTTGAATTTATATTTAAGACCATGTAGGTATGGCGTTCTCTAAAAATAATTTGTATTTTTATTAACATTTTTTTCTTTATTTACAATCTATACAAAATATGTATAATTATCAAGTCTAATGACAAAGATACAGTAACAATAATGTAAGAATAGGAAGGCTCTCAGCAGTGCCACCTGACCAGAATAAAAAATAATTTATAATATCTTTTTGGATTGAAATAATATTTATTTTAATGTTGCACAAATATTTTTATAATATTTAAATATTTTTTAAAATAAAATATTTTTAAAATCTGATACAACTTTGGGATACGATTATAAAACAAATTTTTCTACTGACTAGGAATGGAGAGACGCTGTTTGGCTAACTATTGCTAAAATGTTATAAATTGGTTGAAGTTTATATAGGACTTTTTGAAATATTTATGCAGTTTACAGTTACACCTATACTTAAAAATCGGCCTTTATGTTTAGAAGGAGAGCAGAGAAGAGGCAGACAAATATTTATCCTATATTTGAAAAAAAATAATCTTGTTTTGTACGGTATTATAAAATATTAATATATTTAATATATATATATATATATATACTAATTCTACTATAACAATTTTGTCAATATGTGCAACTTGACGAGAGTTTTTGTTAATGTTGTATTGACATATTAAAGTCCACCGTAGAAACGATTACTACACTATTGCAAAGATATGATTTTACTTGGGTTGATGCTGGAGGACGGAGACTCGATTAATACTATATGTAGTACAAAATATTACGTATCGTAAAAGAAGAAGTAATATACTGGTTATGAAAGTTCGAAGGGAGCAAATTAAGCTACAAACCCGGCGCTCACCCGTTCGGGGCAGATTTAGTCGACAGAAGTTACGCTATAAAATATACGTCCGAACCGCAGTGTGCACATCCGAAATCCCCTAAAGTATACAAGCGTTTGCCGTGTAATCCCTCAGAATTGTACTTATTGTCTACGGCCAAATTAGTATTGTTACACATATATTCATAATGCAATAGGAATGTGACCCTGGATTTGGCTGTTGGCTTGCGCTATATTATTTATGGCCACCTTATATAGATGGCACTTATATATAAATACCTTTACCGTGGCTACAAGATAAGGGCGCGGGACACTGTATATAAAGGACAATGCGGGCTAGCGGAGTACGCGACGGTGCAACGAAAATCCAGATAAAAGCTGAAATATTAAGGCCGACGCGTTTCTGAAACGTTCGAAATTAATAAATAAACGTTATTTATAATACCACCACGTCAAAACGAAATCCCCTCGTGTATCCCCACATTATAACAACACTGGGTGGTATTAATTATTAAATAGCCACTTATTTTTCGGTGAATCCGAAAGAAATTAAATGCAAATCACGTGCGCTGTAAACTCAAAATCGGTAAAACACCGATGCCGGAACGACGACGATAAAAATTAATACGGAAGGGTTAACGCTATCGTGTTTTAGAGGTAGCAGCTGTTAGTAGCCTGTATCGTCCACAGAATAATATTATATATAAAATTCGGAAACAACAAAAAAAAAACCTCTATCACCTTAATGTGAAATTTAAATAGTTACCACTCTAAGTTCTGGAAAAAGAAACTACAACGTACACAAAATATAGCCTATAAATAATGCTGAATTTGTATGAACTATATGCACTATAATATATTAACAATATGTACACCATTAAATCCGGCACCACGTTATATAGTACATATTATTATAGTCTTCATGCGTGTAAAACTTTTAGTGATAAGTAAGCGTTTTTCTTTTATTACAGTACGAGTACACTGTACAACATTAATATATTAGGAAAACGGTCCATTTGTCTGTTTACTTCATAAACAAGATAATGTACACACACCACAATAGTCGCATCTCTCCTTTAAATATGTACTAAAAAAAGAAAAATGTCTGCTTTCTGCAGCAATGAGTAAGCGAACATCTTCATGTGTGTAGCATTAGTACAAACGACTGTGCATAAATGTCGAAACCAGAAATGGTTCAAGAAATTAGCCAAAATTGTACTAAGGGTTTCAGAACAGCTATTTGCCACTTGAACTTACAATTAGTTGACCAAAATGTAGTTCGTACGAATGAGTTTTATGGGTATCAGCATAGGACATGGCCATCCGTAAATAAAATATACTTTTCGACCATTTATAAAATAAGACTCAAGTATTTTTATAGTTTATTAGGATACGGATATATGTGTAATATAATATATAAATATAGTTTAAAAAAACTAAAAAACACGCTTATAAATAGTAAAATAAACTAAAAAGTAGAAAATAATTTTCAATATAGAAATCAATTAATAAAAAATAAAGGCGCTTTTCAAGAACTGATATATGTATTACCCCACGCTTTTTTCACAATAATACTATTTATTTTTTATTAATTGATTTCTATATTGAAAATTATTTTCTACTTTTTAGTTTATTTTACTATTTAAGCGTGTTTTTTAGATTTTTTAAACTATATTTATTTATTTTCCACTTTTTAGTTCGATGTGCTTTAAAATCGTGTGTTTTTAATTCTAGTACATACGTGTCACTATTACTTGAAAACTTCAGGTAAACAACAATGAATACACGCATGTACGTTCGGTTGCCTATCTCTTTTAGTTACATAGTTACATAGTTACATACAAACATACATACAAGTGAAGCTAATATAAGCGTGTTAAAAATATTTGTATCATACAACACAATAGGTCCTAAACGTTGTATGGTTTTTAATTAATAAATACCCGTTACTGATCGTATGCAAACGGAATGGCACGTATATGCTTAATGCTTATGTATATATGTTTTAGTAATGTAATAAATAATTCTTAAGGGCCGGGATGGTTTGTCATTAAACTTGTCAGAGAAGCACGGACAGTTTCAATCATTCGCAATACTTTTTTTTTAATTCCTCCCAATTATTCATTGTTGATACCATTTAAAAATTAAGGACGAAAAATAGCTTTTCGTCACGTCCGTGCGCTTAAGTCAATTAATCATTTACGATTTGCCGAAAGCGAAAAATAAATCGCTCTTCAATAACCGTTTACCAAGACATTTCCCGTCCCCTTCTTCCACACTCTCTCCCACGCTTTGGCGAGATAACCAATTAATTTCAAAAAAACGTTGACGAAATCCCGAGGCGCCATTGTGTTTTCCTCCGTTTTATAATTAGTTTTAACGGTCCGCAGAAGTTTTAATTAAATTAGATTTCCTATCGGGAGGTGAAGTGTGTACTATGAATGTGTTGTGTATATGTACAGCAAATACGGAATTTACCTTTAGCCAGAATTTTACCCCCAAACTGTGATAAACAATAACAAAAACAATGTAGTAGCCGACAGCTATGTTATTTTAGAAGATCCTTTATTTTTCCTCTAAATTATTTGCCCAATAGCTATTAGTTACGAGTTTAATTCGGTTCTTGCGCTTTCATATTGTTTTCAATAACCATCGCATCGGAGGGCCAACAGAGCAGCATACAAAACTTAGGTTTATAATATGTATGTAGACGATATAGATGTATGGACAGAGTACTTGTTTGTCTGTGTTGTAACTTGTACATTGGTTTGGGTTTAATATGTAAACCCTCTAACCAAATTAGGTTTTCATCTTACTTATTCTTAATGGCCTAATTTAATTTTTATGTTGTGTTTTCCCGTATTATTTATTCAAACGACTGTATTTAACTAAAAAAAAAACAAAGCAATTCAACGTATTTATCGCTATTCTAGATCTCTCTATGGTTATACGGACGAAATCTACAATTATGCCCGATTTCTTGATTTTACTTGAATAACTATATGATACGATTTGACATAATATTATTTATGTTAATTATTGTTATAGTTCAATATAACAAGCCTATATATATGTGTGTGTCTAATAATGCGGAAGGAAATAATATTTTGTAGCCGGTATGTGGGCGTGTCAATAGTAATTGTTTTTATACTTCAAATTCATACAGTTGATATTATCGGAAATAGATGACCTAACCTAATCTAACCTATGCATTATGGTAAATAAATTAATTGTTTACTGGAGTGCACAAAATAGTATTATTACAGCCCGTCAGTATATATCTATGATCTCGGCATATGTGGCATCTGTGGCATATCGAGCCAATTAAATTATGTCTGCGTATGGATTGCGATGCATCATTTGTGTTCATC